TTGTGACTGCATCGAGCACGAATGGAGTCAGAGCAGGTGTTTGCCAGAGATGCAGTAGCAGGAAACTGTTGGGCACTTTCCCTGTGTTGTCACCTGAGAAACTTTTCGTTGGTGGTGGGACCTGCAACCAGACCAGACCAGCTCTCTGCCCCCGGCCCACTGCTGGGGCTATACCTGGAGTGGTACGTAGGACTCTCTTCTCCTCTCCCTGGAGCAGGAGTCACTCTGGAGTGGCGGTTGGCTCATTTGGGCTGCTTGCATGCTGCCATGCCTGTGGCCCCGGTTTGGATGGGCTCTGGCCACAAGTGTAGTGGAGGGGTGGATCCCCAAGGTGCAGCTTTACTAAGGTTTTCTGCACAGCTCTCTGTGAATGGGGACTGAGGCCAGCTGGGTTGGAAGAGGCGGATCCATCACATTTGCGAGTTGGGGAGAGGTGGTGTTAGCAAGGTTTTCGACGGTCCTCTGGGGAGGGTACCCACAGTGCTGGGGCAGGCCTGGTTGGAGGGGTCAGATCCCCCAAAGTGCAGGGTGAGGTGTAAGTAAGTTAGGTAGTGACTGTTACTGCTGCACTAGCTCCCGCAGGTCTCCATGTGTCTATCCTGGGGGCTGGGGGAGAGAAATGGCACCTGCTGGCTCCTTTGTCCCTGGGGAGTGGTCTTCCAGGGTTCTGTCCCTGCAGACATGCTCTGAGCTTAGCAAAGAACTCTGCCTCCCATAGGCCCCAGGTGTTTTTCCAACCGCTGCTTCTATGCTGAATCTCCATGGGCTGTTGTGTCGTCTCTTTAAGGGCAGGGACTTAGTTTTCTCTTGGCCTCCATTCTTTCCCAGAGCGGAGTCCGGTGATTTTTTTCTTAAATGTTTATTTCTGAAAGAGAGAAGGCAGGGATACAAGTGGGGCAGGGGCAGAGAGAGAGATGGAGACAGAGGATCAGAAACCGGCTCAGCACTGACAGCAGAGAGCTTGACGCAGGACTTGAACCCACAAACCATGAGATCATGACCCAAGCTGAAGTTGGATGATGAACCAACTGACTGAGCCACTTAAGTGCCCCAAGCCCGGTGATTTTTAAAATTCCAGATTTTAAGTTCTGCTGGTTGTAAGAATCTTGAAATTCGGCCCCTCTGGTTTTCAAAGCCAAATGTTATGAGGCTTCATCTTCCCACATGGGCAACCCTGTGATTGTCTGTCTACCCTCCCTGTGCCTGCAGATGCCCCCACCCCGGGGAGAGTCCTGTGGGTATTAGCTCCTCACTGTATCTTCGCCCTTTCTACCTTCTTCGATGTGTCCTCTTCTTTACATTGAGTTGTGGCTCTGTTCTGCCAGCCTTCGGGTTGCTTTCTGGGGCATTTACACTATGATGAGTGTTAGGTAGTTGTGTCCGAGAAACAAGGTGAGTGCCATCTTCCCAGCAGTCTAACTCCGTTCTTTTGCCAGCAAACCCAGTTTGTCTACATTCTCTTTCTCTGGTCAGTCTGTAAACCCAACCCACCGAGAGCAAACTTCTTAGCTTGTACCTCCTTTGCTCCAGGCCCACTGCTGTGCATATAGTCGAAGCTCAGTTAATAGCTGATGAGTGTTCTGGCTTCTGCTGGGTTTGTCTTTTCATTCCTTTGGGGGCCACATAGGACTGGTTCGTGGCCTTCAGTTCTTTCTTGCCTGTGTCCTGTTCTCTGCCTGCCAATTCTATGGCCTCATTGTCAGATGACATAGCCCCCATACTCGCATAGTTCTTAGCTGTCTTTACCAGAAAATTCTACCCTTCCTTCCCTCCCTCCCGTGTACCCAAACGATGGTCAGATGGTTGAAAGAGGGAACTGTGCCTCCTCTGAGAATTTTTAGACACACCTCTTCTTACTGTCAGTATTCAGGTGTGAGCCTTAAAAACAGAACTTGACCACAGAATCTCATTAGGCAGTAACTGATTTTGTAGTATTCTGGTGCCTCTTCTTAGCTCAGGGTGATTTGCAAAATTGCCTCTTGCATTATCCAAGGAATCCAATTTTCTGTTATCTTGAACTTAGATGCTGAGGCAGCAGAGCAGTTAGGAGGAGATAGTGGTCAAGGGTTTCACATTGTGGTACAATATATCGGCATTTGAATGGTGTGATCCCTGCCTTCATTAAAGGGCAGTGGTTTAGGCCTTAGCCTCCAAACTGGAATCCTTCACTCTCTCAACTGAGCAGGCTAGAGTTATGCCTGCCTCAGTGGTGTGGTTGCCCCGGAAGCCAAGGCCTTAGGATTGTCCATCAGGGTCAAGACCAGACCGCACGATGGCCTAAAGGTGATGTGAACGGAGGGTCTGGGAGAGCCACGTGCAGCCCACAACCTACTTTCATTCCTGGCATCCTTCAGATGAGAGAAGCATTCTGGCCCCAGGCTCCAGGACAGGAGGAAAACATTCCAGAAAGACAAGAAGAAGGATAGGTGGAGGTCTGAATTCCAGCTCTGCTATCTGCCAACGGTGGGACCTGGGCAAGTTAATTAATGGGTCATTGATTAAGCAGTCAATCAACAAAGGTCTGTTTGGCTGTATGTGCCTTTATTTTAGAATTTTTATTTTAAGTAGCCTCTGAACTCATGACCTTGAGATTAAGAGTCACATACTCTATCAACTGAGCCAGCCAGGTGCCCCTGACTTTACATGCCTTTGAAAT